AGGATGCATCTAGTGCGCCACATCTTCTTGTTTGACCAAAATGGGCAATCTTCTAAATCTGGTGCCACAATTAATCAGGTCACATAAAATATTTTCTATTCCTTCTGTCTCGCTTTTGTTGTTTGCTGTTGACCTGTACCTACTGTTGAAATGTTGCTGCTGTTGATGTCTTTTTCTGATGCCCACTGTTACTTTATTGCTATTTTTTTTTCTTTATATGGTTGATGCTTTAGTTGTTTGTTGCTGCTTTTTATTGTTGTATGTTGTTGTTGTTGAGTTCATGCTTTTTATAGCCTGCTGCATCTCTAAATTATCAATCAATAAGGACATGATTCTTGAGTTAGATCTTGGAACTGCTGTATAGGTGACACAGAATTCAGTTTATCTTGGAAAAACTATAGGGGAAGATACCCCTGAATAGAATATTGCTACTGGTGAAATTTATGTGTTGTCGAAATAGTAAAATTGATATGTTCCTTACTACTTGTGTAGCTGTGTGTAGGCTGATACACAATCGAGTGGATTGAATCAGAATTAGATGGGCCATGTTAATCAGTTTTTGCTTCATTGATTAGTTACTACTCGTACTTTGCTAACTCCTTGTGTTATTGAAAATATACGGAGTACGAACTTGACCATATTTATAATATACTCTTTTAAATCCGTGTGTCCAAAAGAGATAAAGGGTTGTATTTTTAGGGACAGAGGGAAAGGGGAACCCGTTGAAGCTCTGAGGCAGCTTAACATTACTCCATTAATGGGTGGGAACATAGGGGAATTTCTGGGAGCCGTGACAGTCAGCACCCCACAACTTAAATGAAACTTTTGGTTCCCTAGAATACTAATCTGGTCCAGGGCCTGACTTCAATTCTTGTTAAATTAGTTTTACTTGTTAAATCTTGCAGTAATTTAGTTTATGAAGGCAATATAGACAATGTGAATGTGATAGCTCTCTTTAGAGAGGATGTTGGATGTTACTCTTTTTTTTGTTAACATGTGTTTCGTTACAGCTGGTACCCTTTTCCATCCCCATATTTCTAATTTTTGGTTGCATTTTACTGAAATTTATGATTATAGTTGATCTATTTGGAGATTTATTTGATTGTGTTAGAGTTGGTTCAATGAGTTTTTATTTCTTGCTCTAATATTGTCGAAGTTTATTGTATAGCTGAATTTATATATTAGGGGGATGGTTTGTTACTTGTGGGATGTTGTGATTTGCTATCAATATAGAAGATTTTTTTTTTTTTTTTTTTTTTGACAAGAGCAAATGTATTCATAAAATCAGAGTTTACAATCTACAAAACAAGAACTTAAACTTAAAATATGGCTTTTAACACTAAAGCCTTTGCAACAACTTTTTAGACTAGAGACGAAAGTAAACTTGAATTGGCCGGATAAGTCGCAGATTAGGGACTTCTTACAAACCAAGGAGCAAAATCATACTACACTCCAAGAAGAGAGCAACGGAGGGAATCAAAACTGTTTGACCATGGCTAGCACTTCCTTACCTAGCGGAATCAACTCATCACCAAGTAAGGTCATCAAACGGGTCACTTGAACTAGTGACCTCCCAATCAATAGCTTTCCTTGTTGGCAAGAAAGCTTTGACAGCGTTGAGGCTCGAGAAACCCCAAAACAAAGTTTGGGCGCCTGCTTCAGATAATAAGGATCAGGAGTAATGACCAAAAAAATCATTACATCCGAGGGAAGAGAAACCAAACCCATACCACTCCAACAACTTACACATTTCTTCTTAGCCATAGCCAACTTCTTGTTCAAACCCCCAACAACCGCACCTGTAACCTCTCTTACCACAGTAAACACCCCACTATCCTTAACAAAGGGGCTTAACTCCCACTGCACACAACCATCCAAAATACAATAGCCAAAACAACTAAATAGCCCGGAAAACAACCAAAGGGGGCTAAAACATACCATAACAAAAATTAAGGCAAGTAAACTCTGATAATTACTAAGAACAAACATACTAATAAAGGGAACAAACTCGAGGAATGCACCGTCCAACCCGACAACCCGAAACCACTTACACTAGGAACCTCGAAACCATAGCCCTAACTTCACCGTTTTCGTCACTTACTACTCTTGACGGCGGCGTTAGACCTAGCCCTTCAGTGCAAGGACCCACGAAACCCTAACCCTAACTTTACTGTTTCCGTCACGGTCAAAAATACCGATGACCTTTATGACGGCGGCGTTAGGCCTAGTCCTTAGACCTTGTTTCACCGACGGGGAGACCCTTTGAATAAACACAAACCTTCCACACAAAGGTGAGCAATGGCGACAAAGGAGGACGATCTACACACTCCCCTCATAACCTTCGAAATTTAGACAAGGTTCTCACCAGCACCTCCAACGGATTGAAATCCCCAAGATGAAAGAGGACCCCGATCCCCAAAACAACTACGAAGTCACCGCCGCCCCCACCGCGAAACCCTAAATTCGACGAAAATTGGCCGGCCGCACCCCTGGACCACCAAAAATCGTCAGCCGGCCTTTTAAAAGGCCAACTAACCTAGCCCTGACCCCCGTAACCGCCTACCCAGCCACCCCGATCCCAAAAACCACCAACAAGTCCGACGAGCGCGCACGGTGACTTTAGGTGGTTTTGGGGGTCAAGGTTGGCTGGGTTGGTGGTTTTGGAGGTCGGGGATGGGTTAAAGGTGGTGTACAGATCCAGCCGTTCGGTTTCGATGGGTAAGAGGGGTGGTTGGTCGGTTTCCGGTGAGGCTAGGGGTGGGGTTAGGGTTTGACGGTAGGGATAGGTGGCTGGGAATTTTTTTGTTTTTTTTTTAAATTTATTATTTTAAAATATAATTTAAATAATTTTTTAATAAAAAAAAAATCAAATTAGCCATAAACCTAAAAAAGGTCACTATGGTTAATTTTTCTAAACCTTGGTGCCACTTAAGAGAGTTGGAAAAGAATTCGTCTTCCACGTAGAAAAGTTGAATTCATGAGACTGCCATGTATAATTTCCCTAATAATTTAAGTACTAGATTTGACTTGTGACCGATCATACAAGTCATTAATTGACTTATACTATAATTAACTCTCAATTAAATAAGAATTGACTTAATTAAAAATAGAATATATCTTAATATTAATTTTAAATATAAAAAATTATTTTTATTTTTAACTATGATAAATTTTAAAAAGATTGGGGTGTCGGGGTTGGTGTAGAGGGCTGGGTGGTCATAGGTTAGTGCCGACTAGGGTGGGTGGGAGTTGTGTGGGTTCGATCGATTGGCTAGGTTAGGGCTAGGTGAGAGTTCGCCACATAATTGTGGTTTGAGAGTAAGAGTTGGGGTTTGGGTGGGAGTTCGCAAAATAAGTGGGGTTCGAGAGTTAGAACTAGGGTTTGGGTGGGTGTTTGATGGACTGGTTGGGACACTAGGGTGTAAAGTCAAAATGTATCTAATAAAAGGAACAGATGGAGTATTAGAGTAACTTCAATGGTAAGCTAATTAGCAAATTAGTTTTTTTGGCCACATAAGATTTTAAAGCTAATTTTTTTTGTAGCTAATTTGTGCCTTGGCTACTAGCTTGTGGTGTTTGCCACAGAGTAGAATAATGGATTTTGGAGTAAGTGCAATTATTCTATGGTTTTGTCTCACTCTCTTTGTAGTATGGGTGACTGGTGGGAACATTGTTTGGGTAATTTTGGAGAGGATATGATGACTTTAATTACCATGTGTTTGGCTATGTGGGGCGCAAGGAACAAATGGATGATTGAGGGTGAAAATCCGAATGTTGAGCAAATTGTTGCCTATGATTTGAAGATTAAAGGTGGGAAAGTTGAATAACATGGGGAATGGAGGGGTGGAAAGAGTGTCTCTGTGGGCAGGTCTCCTCCGGCATCTGGTGTGGTTAAAATTATTGTTGATGCTGGTGTTTTGGGGGAGGTGGGGACGGGGTTGGGTGCAGTCTGCAGGAATAGTGAGGGGGTGGTGCTTTGGGGAGCTACGATGTAGTGGAGTGAAAAATGAGAGACTAAGATTGCAGAGGTGAAAGCGGTATTTTAGGGCATGAAGATTGCGAGACACAAGGGTATGAGCTGCATTAGGATCAAGAGTGATAATCTGGTGGTGATTGAGGCAATGAGGAAGCGTTTGTATGACTCCAGTTCCTTTTATCTGATTATAAAGGATATTCTAGATTAATTTTTCGTCTAATTTTACTAGTGATTTATGGTCTTTTGTAAGGCAATGGGGTAATAATGTAGCACATAAAGACTTACTTTCAACCATGTGAGTTTGGCCAATGGGTGTGGAGTGATGTAATCCCTCCTTGCATTTTGGAAATTTCTTCGGTTGATCTAGATGGGTTTAAGTAAAGTTGTCACTTCTAAAGTTATTAACTAATAATTTTTTGTTTTACACGGATCAATTACCAACTCATATAATTAACTAACTCTTACAATTAACTAACTCATACAATTTTACACTTGCTAATCTGCAACTGTATTTATAATAAAATGTAAGTGATCGTCAGTTAATGCTAAAACCGCACAGGTAACACTACCTATACGATTGCATAGTTCACTCTTCACATGACACAGTTAATTTGCCATAATGGCCACGACAAAAGAGTCATCCTAACCACATTTTTTTAGGAAAACTCATCCTAACCACATTTAAGACATGATAACATGTAATTGACTTATGTTACCATACTTTCCTTTTGTTTGTTGTAAACTCAATTTAATTAATGTAATTTCAGCCGTTTTCAAAATTAAAAAAAAAAAAACAAAAAAAAACTTACAAACAAATTATACAAGCTTTGGTGTGTGAAGATAGTATTTGAGGAATGAAAGCGTTAAGATAAACTAATACTCCGTGCTTTTTAAAACAGATTTACTCTAAATCCTTAAAAATTCTGCCCATCCCCTTAATTGGACGAGCGTATAAAGACTCAGCCCATTTATTTTTTAGACGGATCTAACCCATTAATAATTGTGTCGGGTCATGGGTCATGGCTTTTAATAGGGATCCAGGCGTCCAACACTCCAACCCATTGAATTGCTCTGTTGAAGCGCATTCAACGTTCTCCATTGAAGCGCAGTTGCCGTTCTCCGTTGAATCTAGTTCTTGTATCCCCCATTGAAGCAGCTTCTGAGGTAAGTTGTTTGTATTTGTTATCATCATATCAAATATCCCTAAAATTATGAGATAATTGAATCAAATATCCCTAAAATTATGAGATAATTGAATCAAATTTGGCTGCTAATGTATTGCACAACACTTTAATGTTAGCATTCAACTATGAAATCAGAGCTCTTTTCCCTGGGCCCAGGGCTGCCGCCCCTCCTGCCCTTCCTCAGGGACGGGCCTGATTATATCTTTGGGTAATTACATGGATTCATTATAATATTTACTCTTTTTAAATAATAAAACTAAATTTAGGATTTTGTTTGTGTTCTTATTGATAAGGGATTAGCTCCTAAGAATTAGTCAATGATTAGTTATCTAGTTCCTGGTAATTGTCTTCTATGAACCAATTTGCTGATTGATGACTGATGTTAGCTATGTTATCATTAGCAACTCTTAAGTGTTGATATTTGTGGAAAATTGTTGATATTGCAATTAGTAGAAGCACAACCTATTATAACATGTTTCTGTGTATTTGTGAGTTTAGCAAATCTTACTGTCATCTATTATTATATATGCTATGGTGTATATGTGAGCAGTGAGCTTAACCAAACTTATTGTTATTCCCGTTGTACACTATGAGCTTTCTTTTTGGTTGAATTTACGAGCTTAACGTGGTAATAGTATGGTTAAGATTCAAAGTACAATGAACAGCTAAGATTTTAATGTTACTATGATTGTCTTTTTAAGAAAGCCATTATATGTAGTAGAATTTTCGCTCAAAACAGCATCCTTCTTGCCCGTTTCTTCAGTTTATAGTCTAACCAGCATAAAACACACAATATTTTCTCATTACTAATATCCCGTAATTCAAAAAAAATTTCTACCAAAAAAGACAAGAAAAGAGGACAAAAAAATGGTGAAAGAAATTGAGGGACTCAGTGAAGACGAAAGAAAAGCTCTTAGACACATCAAATTCGCTCCACTTCCTTCTAAACTTTCTTCTTTGCAGTCCTCTTCTCTTCCCAGGTACACAAACTTCTCAATTTATTTGTTAATTCATTTATTGAATTGATGTTATTGGTGATTTGTTGATTGATTTCTTGCATATTTGTTTTTATTTTTTTATTTTTTTCAATCCTGTTATTATGGAAAAAAAAACCCAGAAATTTGAACAAAATTTTGTAGGAAAAATTGGTTTTCTTAATCCCAACTTTCGATCATTTCCTAATAATCCCAAATTTGGGAGGCGTTTTCTTCTATCAGGTTATGACCAGTGAACAAAAGTCAACAACCTATTATAATAGGTTACTTGACATGTGTCAACCCCTATTTGGTCCAAAAAATATAAAAAATTAATTAAAACAATTTTTTTACAAAATATAAAAAAACCACCAACCCCCACTCCTCTGCTCCTTACCGGAAAACAGCCCCACTCCCACCCTTCTCCTGCCGCCAAAGTCAGCCCCACCCGAAACCCCCTTCCTGCCTTTTCTCTGCCCCAGTAAAACACCGTTCAGGCCTCCCCACCCTCGAAACCTCCCCCCTCCCTTTCCCTACCCCGTAAAACGCCCCCTTCCCCTTCCCCAACCCCCGAAATGAATTCCTCCTCCGCCAAATACTTCAACATCAGTAACCCACAAACACTACATTGGAAAGATTTTCTTCCAAAAATCGCCACTAAAGCTACTCTCTCCATTTTTGCATATTACCTTAAATTTCAGGAAACAAAAATGGCCGCTCATACTCTCACCTCATCTTCTCTCTCCTCCATCTCTTCAAGGTAATTTGAGGGGGGGGGGCGTTTTACGGGATGGGGGAAGAGAGGAAGGGAGGTTTCAAGGGTGGGGGAGAGCTGAACGGTGTTTTTCGGGGGCAGGTGAAAGGCAAGAAGGGGGTTTTCGGAGTGGGGCTGACTTTTCCGACATGGCAAGGGTGGGGGTGGGGCTGTTTTTCGGTAAGAGGAGGGGGTGGGGGCTGTTGGTTTTAGTTTTTTTTTTTTTTTTTTTTTTTTTTGACTAATCTTAATTAGACATGTGGCATTTAAAAAAAAAAAAAAACTTTTTAATCAGGTAACCGGTCATTTGACCTGTTATAAGAAAACGCCCCCCCCCCCCAAGTTGGGATTATTCAAAAATAATCGAAAGTTGGGATTATTAATAGTAAATGGCCCAAAGTTATGATTAATAAAACCAAATTTTCCAATTTTTTATGTGTAGTCACTATTTTTGCAATTTACAGTCCAAGTTTTAGTCCCAGAGATTTTGTATATTCATGGTGAGATCTTCGTTTTGATTTCGGGTCGATGAAATTTGATGTATTGTTGAATTATACTGATATGAGTTGTGCTACTTGTGTTTATATCAATAGAATTCAAAATATTTTGATGAGAACTAGTTGATGTTTCTATGTTTTCAAGTTTAACCACTGAAATCAGCCTAGCTCATTTCCAAAGGAAATAACATGTAATTTTTTGTGCGTTGATCATATACTGGCTTGTTGGGAGTAGTAAAGATTTGTAATACAATCTTTTTATAAAGCTTTGTGATTAATGTTCCATTGTCGCCATTACGCGTAGTTTTTATTGTGAAATGTTCTTGATTAGTGTATACAATTACAGTTACAAGTAGAAAGTGTAAAAAACTGGTGTAAACTCTATGCAACATCATAATCAGTTGACCTACTTGAATGAAAAACTATACTTTTTTGGGTCTTACTGTAATTAGGGGGGGTTAGATTTTAGGATACATATTTTGTTTCCAAAACCCTAAACCCAATTGAAAAATGATTTATTGTATAATTCAAATGAGCTTTTTGTTGAATAATCGGTAGACAAATAGAGATTTCTCGTATATGATTTTTAACCTAATTGTTACTATTAATGTATTTTAATTTGTTGGATTTTTTTTGCTACGGTTTCTAAATACGTGCTAGCCAAATACATTTTGGGTTGATGATTAGAACATGAATAAATTTGAATCAGGCTAGCTCATCCTGGTGGACCTGTAACGACAAATAAGGCAGTTGCATTGGCGAAGTTTCTTGAAAGAAAACTACAGGAACCTGGTGGATTGGATACCTTAAAACCTGAACTCGTTGAGCTGGCTGTCAAGAATGCAAAGGAGACTGTGAATGCTAGTGAGTATTCTGCACCAAATTTTTTTTACTAATTACCATATGCCATTAATAGCATAATTTAACTTTGTTGGGTCAATATCAATTTGGAACACATTCTATACCACGAGTTTGTTCAATATCAATTGAAAGTTGAAGTTTCACTTTTTTTTCTCTGCTGTCTTCCACATTATTGTTGGTACATGTTATCAATTTCTCGGTAAGCTCTGTTGGTAGAGATGGGGCGCTATACTGATATGCTCCTCCCATGAGTTCTCCTTTTCCCCAACTTTTTTCTCATTTACTTGTTAAGCTGTTAGTGAATATTTCCATGCTATTATCCTATATATCAGCTTTTTTCCCCCATCAGTTCAACTCTTGCTGCATAGGTGCAAGTCTGTATTTTATATCGGTTGATTATCTCTAAGTCGTAGATCTTGTTTGTTATAATTTAGCTACCCCACTGCTATACAGTATTTGTGGATCATCTAGTTACCTTAACCTTTTCAGAATGGGTACATTAGTTAATAGTGTTTCTGGTTTGTAATGTTTTCTAAACATTTCTTTGGAAATAATAGTTCAATCCTATATTTTTATAAACCTATGTATTTGCTAGTTGATATGCGTGAAGGTCAGATAGGAACATTATTCAGTGCATCAATAAATTATTGAATATCTTTTCCCATCATTATTCTAATATATCTGCACCGAATCCATGCTTTTTAAATGATTCTACATACACTGCTTGTCCACACCTATCATGCGTAGTTCACAGCGGACAATGAATGTTAGGTACTTGTGTTTATCAAGTGATAGTGTGCGTTTCTGGCAAATGTTTGGTGTCTGGGTAGAACAAGAGTTCACGTTTTGTAGGTTACTGGTTTATCAAGTGATTGACTGTGGTATAAGAATACATCTTGTGCAGCTGGACAGCTGGTACTGTAGAGCCTTTAACTGTATACAGTTGATGAGATTTAAAGAAACTGCAGAGACTTGGATTTGGGTGTCATGTCTGACACCCCAGATTTTATAAATTTTTTATATAAGGCCACTATCTATTTAGGTGTCATGTCGTGTCAGAGTTTCAAAGGTTGCGACTCCCGATGTACAGCAAGGTGTTGAAGTAAAATAGGATTTTTAACATTTTTCTCTCTATGTGCTCTTAATTTTGAAAACCCTTTTTTTTTTTTTTTTTTTCTCATATTACAGAATGAAGAAAGAAAACAGGACTAAAACACTTCTTCCCTAGCTAGATAGTGAGAGGGCCAAACCCACAAGATGGAAGTGCTATTTCAGTTAAAAATAATCTCTGTCAAGCTGTATGCTGAGGATGATAGAATGTTTCTGCTGATCTATTGACTCTTCTTCCAGAAAAATGCCTTTTTTTCCTTAAAGATAATCATTTTTATATCAGTTGGACAGTTAGTTGCATACAGAGTAATTTCTTTTGTAGCTTCATCACTTATTTCTTCTTGACCTGTAATTTTTATTTACCTATTCATATTGTCCTCATATATTGTCATTGTCAAGTTATCAACTGGGATGATGAAACTGTATGGTGCATTCATATTTCAATTAAGCTGAACTGAAGACTGTTATACAGGTGGAACTTCAAATCATGGGAAGATCATACGACATGTTACTTCGTTTGATGATGATGAGGTGCCTATCTATTCGCAGAGCTGTCTGCACTTGTTTTGTTGTGCGTTTTTAGCTTTTCCCTCACTGCATGAAATTTTGGCAGGATCATTCATCCAAAGATGGATCAACATTTGAGCCAAAGAAGAAAAAATTGAAAAAAGAAAAGAAAGATAAGAAGAAGAAGTATAAAAAGAAAAAGGTTATTCCTCTTAGCTGGGTTTCCTGCCCTCAACTCCTCTTAGTTCAAACTTTTGATTATGAGAAATCTATTTTTAGCCCTCTTTCCTTTTTTAATATTTTTTTTTATTTTTTTTTCGTTTTCTTCCCCCATTTGATTTTTGGCAGGTTGAAGATCAATAATGTTGAAGGAAGTGTTTTGAAGAGATCTTAAAACATTAGGTTTTTATGTTACTGGGGAAATTCTCATTGATACAAATCTAGTTTTGACTTTTATTTTTAATACACTTCACTAAATTTTGATTATCAAAAATACACTCAAACTTAATCCTAATTAACTACAGTGTAGGCTTTGCGAACTCTTCTTGTGGGTGATTGATGAACATATCATAAGGGATGTAGGAGGCAGACATGGTTATATTACAGACTCATCATGTGCTCAAGTTTTAAGGGCAGGGTTCATTGAGTTAATGAAGAAAACATATGACTTTGCCGATTTTGTTCATAAGGTTGTAAAAATTGTTGTTATAATGTATTTGGTATTATTGGTTGTTTAGAAATAGATGAAAGGAATTGTGAGATGCAATGAGAACTTAGTTGTGACTTGTGAGTTGTAATATACTAAGGGGTCGTTTGGTTCGCACAGGGAAATCGGAAGGAATACGGAAAAGGGAATGAAGGAGAAAGGAAAGGATTAACCCTGATTTGCCTTGCTTGTTTGGTTGTATCTAGAAAACGGAATGAAATGCTGACTGATTCCCTTTGTGACTGTTTGGTTCAAAGTAGGGAATCAAACCATTATGATTCAGACAATCAAAAAAAAAAAAATTCATTCGTGCTATAGGAAAAAATTTCAACAATGCAAAATCTATAGTAAATTCAATCACCACGAAGGCATTTATGAACAAATTAAAGAGTAATATCTTATTCGTGTTAACAAAAGTAAATAAGAACTGCGACATTCCTCTTCATTCTCTCTCCTCCGCATCGCCTCCGCCATTGTTGACACCGCACTGACCTCCTCCGCTGCCATTACCAGTTTAAAACAAGGCAAATCCACAAAGTTACACAAATTCAAGAAAAAAAAACAAAAACTGCATTACAAAATGGAGGAACTAGGGCTTCCCTACAGAAGACGATCGACGGTCGCAAAAGGGTGGTCGGCGGTCACGGATCTGATGTCAGAGGGCTCACTAGCGACGGCGACGGCTTCGAGCTCGTTAGGGTTGACTTGAGAAGCTTGAGAAGAGAGAGAGAGAGGCGGCGGTGTTCGACTTAGCTTCACCGGCGGTCATGACGTGAACACCGGCGGCGGCAACTCTGCAGTCGAACGTGAACACCGGCGGCGGCAACGTCTTCGACTGTGGCAGGGAGCAGAGCAATGGAGAGGCTTGAGAGGAGAGAGAGAGGGGCGTGGGTAATGAAGGGAATGGGAATGCAAAAGGCTGGGGGTGTGGGGAATGAGTTTAGGACTGTTTTGGGTAAACCCAAAAATAAAAATGGAAAATGGGAATGACAAAAGATGCAAAACAAACACTTACAAAGTGAATTATTCCCATTACAGCGAACCAAATGGCCCGTAATATGAATTAATCTAAATAAAATGGTTTGCTTCCTTTTTATGTATTGTTTCCTGTTTCTGTAAATCTGAATACTTAAAAGTTCAAATAGGTGTTTGATATAGGATAAAAGTATCAAAACAAAGTACCAAATAGCAAATGTGATAGCAAATGTCTTAGCAAAAGTAAGGCAACCAACCAAACTGTTTCATAAACTTACATCAAAACAAAGTACCAAATTGCCACCAGAATTATAGAAAAAGTACCTAAACAAAATATCTGAGTAAGGCAACCAACCAAACTGGTTTTAGAAAGTTCTAACTTAACCAAATATAGTGCAAAACCAGTAAACTTAGTTCTATCAAGTTTAAAAGTGAACCAAAAACATCTGCATATGTTAGAAGTGACTTCATAGGTTAGTTTTGGGATTGTGATAGGTCTTGTGGTTGACTTGGCAATTATGAGCATGTGAGCTTTGTTACACCAAACCCTTCGGCCTTTGATTTTGCCCATGTTTCCTTAACAACATTTGTTTGATCTCTCACTATTGGGTTTTAGTGAAGGTAATATAATTGTTATTAATATTTTGTAGGGTAATTTTCGCTGTCCGTGGAAGCTACATATTCTAATGGATGACATCATATCTATTGTGGATTTCTTCATGGCTTTCAAAGCGTAACATGTTTATCGAGAACGCAATCGGACATCAAATTATATTGCCTTTCTCGGCTATTCTACTACCTATTTATATGTTGTCAGTTTTCTTTTTTTTTAAACCTTGATATATTAGGGAATGATCTTGCAAGAAGACGGTTGTAATCTTCGATCCCCTTCCCCCTTTTTAAAAAATATCAATAAGTCATTATAAAGCAGGCTTACATTAATTTTATTGTAAGACGGTCAATTTAATAATTTTAATCGTAAATTTAAGGAAATTTTGTCAACAACTACCTATTTAAGTCTCTGTTTTGAAAACAACTACCTTAAATTTTTTATTTATTTTTTAAAAATAACTACCACAAACTTGTAAAAAGTTAGAGTAGCACTACCACTTTTAAAATTCCGGCAAGAATCTCCGGTGAGTGGGGCCCACATTCGTCCTTTTCCTCCAATTTTTGACTTGGACTTGAACCCTAATTTTAAAATTTATGTATATTATGAATTGAACATGATTTAATTCGCAAATACCCTACAAATACATGGATAAAAACCAATTAATAAACCCTAATGTGAATAAATCCGTTCAATTTACCCAAAAAAGCAAAAAAATTGTGAAACCCTAATTTCCCCCATTATGAACCCAAATTAGCATATAAAACTATGAAATTACTTGATTTGATGTTCTTGCCGGAATTTGGGCATATAAAACTATAAAACTATGTCAAGAATTAGAGGGAAAGGATAAATGTGGGCCCCACTCACCGGAGATTCATGCCGGAATTTTAAAAGTGGTAGTGTTACTCTAACTTTTTACAAGTTTGTGGTAGTTATTTAAAAAAAATAAAATTAAAAGATAGTTGTTTTCAAAAACAGAGACTTAAATAGGTAGTTGTTGACAAAATTTCCTAAATTTTAATCCCTTTAAGGCTAACTTTTAATTATATTTTAATGTGGAAAAAAACTAGCGTGGACCTGGTTCTAAAAAAAATTAGTGTGGACATAAAGTTTATAGGCACGCAACTGACGTTATATTGAACGTAGTGACCCTCATTTTACCATAGTAACCTTATTTTTAACATAGTTACTCTTTATTAAAACTTGTGTGAAGTTTAATACTACCTCCGTTTTTTTTTATGTGCAACTTTGGGCCTTTTCACGGTTCACGAAGCAAAAGATTGAAGGGTAAAGTTTAGGAAAAGTAAGTGGGTTTAATTAAAGGGGGAGGAGAGAGAAAGTGTGGCCACCCACAATTAATTTTGGTAGGAAATTATTGGAGAAAATGCAAGTGGTGTATTTTCCCCCAAAAAAACCACTAAAAATTTGAAGGATGGTTTTATTGGGTTGAAATTTTTGTTTCCCCCCAATATTTTTTTTTAAAAACCTGCCAAACTCAATTGTTTTCAAAAAATTTAGGGGGCTAAATAAGCAGCCCACCCACCGTTAAATTTCAGAATTCAGCATTTAAGGAGGGAATTTTAGCATCCTCCATTGTCACACATTAAATACAGACATAAATGTTTGAAGCTGGGTTACACACACCAGCAAAAACAGAGTTCCTTCCCCAAAAAATTACACCATCCTACCTTAACCGTTACGGTTAGTTTAATTACAAACTACCTAATCTGTTAACAGCTTTACAAAAAAAGGGTAGCACTGCTGTCAATACTGCACAACTGGGTTTAGTCTTCATCTTCAACCCAAAAAATCAGCAGGCCCCTCACTCCATCTCCCTGTGCTGGCAAAAAAAATAGACATGGCAGAAAATGGTGATTCTGTTTTTTTTTTTATATCGAACACATTCTAAATAAAGAACAGATGGCAGAGTTGTGGTTCGATGAAGAAGAAGAGATACAGGATGCAGGCATTTGGGAGTACGATTCAGAAGATGAAACCATGGAAGGTAACCAAGAAGAACAACAACAACAACAACACACAGACACTGATTTTGAACACACACAAATGCAACAACAAGCTGATGAAGGGGCTCATAGTGTATGCAGAAAGCAACTAACAATGCAGCAAAGAAGGAAAATTGTTGATGCACTTTTGGTGAAAATGAACAATGGGACATTACCAAGGGGTCTCATGAAGCAATTATCATTCAAATTCAATGTTCACAAATCAACAATCACAAGAATCTTCACAGACATAAAAAGGCAGTTGTCAATAGGGGACTTGATTGATGTCAGGACTAAAAAATATGGCAAAACTGGGAGAAAGCCATTGCAAATTTCTGATGAAACCCTCCAGCCAGTCCCACTACATTTAAGGCAGACAGAAAGGAGCTATGCAAGAGCATTGAACATCAGTCTTAGTACACTTCACAATTTGAAGAAGAGAGGAAGGCTAAGAACACACACATGCTGCAACAAACCATTGCTGACATCAGACCATAAGGTTGCCAGACTAAGATGGATTTTGTCACATATAAATCCGATTAGAGGGAATGAGGACCCTACATTTGTTGACATGAGGAATGTCATACACTGTGATGAGAAGTGGTTCTACTTGAACCCTAATAAAAGGAGGTTATATCTACTGCCAAGTGAGGAGGATCCTTACATGGCAGTTCAGTCAAGAAGATTCAAGCTCAAGGCAATGTTCATGGCAATTATATGGAAGCCATTATATGCCACAAATGGAGAAATGTTACATGATGGGAAGTATGGCATCTTCCCATTCACTGTCCAGCAAGTAGCACAGAAATCAAGCAAGAAAAGAGCAAGAGGGACTATGGAAACAAAGGCACTCCAGAATATAAACAGAGAAGTTATCAGAGAGATGTTGCTAACAAAGGTCATTCCAGCAATCATGTCAAAGTGGCCTGAAGGTCTGCCCAAGGATGTGGTCATCCAATGGGACAATGTAAGGCCTCACCAAGTTCCTACAGATGCTGAGTTTCTGGCAGTAACAACAGCTAATGGCTTTAACATTCAATTTGTTTTTCAGCCAGCACAGTCACCTGATTTGAATGTCCTTGACTTAGGGCTTTTTAGGTCTATACAATCTTTGCAATATCAATCTTTTCCTAGGGACTTAGAGGAGCTGGTTGAAAAGGTCAAACAGTCTTATGACACATTCAACCCCCATGTTAACAAGTACATCTGGGTTACATTGCAAAAATGCATGATTAAGATACTCAAGGCAGAAGGTGGTAACAAGTACAAAATACCACATCTGAACAAAAAAAGGCTGGAAAACCTTGGCAATCTTCCAGATTTGGTAGAGGTTCAGAAAGAGGTAGCGTTGGAGGCTGTGGAGTACCTAAACACTATGTTTAGGCCAGCAAATCAAGGCACTGAAGAAGTCACAGAAGATTTGGAGGTGGATGCAGATTAGGGGACTCATTACAAGAACAAGACAACACATGGACTGCCACACATAACCACTTCTCCTAGTAAGTTTCTTTATTTGTTTTTTCAAAAAATTGTTGAAGAATCAAGTGGTTAGGTGTATTTGTTCATTACAATTATCCAAACAAGTAAGGCAGTCTGTTGTAATGTTGTAACACCCTAGAAATTCCTTTCCTTTAAAATACCTGTTTTGCCCTTTTTAAAATACGAAAAAGGAAAATCTAAGATATTACCGCCACCGTGAAAACGGCTAAGGCAATTATCAAAGAACACAGCGGAAAACTACCTTTAAAACTATTTAAAAAGCAAGTCAACTTAAAAGTCAAATCAAACGCAAGTAAAAGTCAAACGAAATCAAACGAAATCCACCTACAACTTGGAACCATTATAGCCCTTAAACCAAAACACTTTAAAATCCTTTTGCGTTAGTCTCACAATCAACATAAATGAATAATAAATTAAAGCATTAAACACATCATATTCTAGTAAGAACTAAGCATGATTCACTCTTCACTCATGCCCCATCATGATTATGCTTCATCACCTGAAAAGCTTCTCCCTACTTGTCCCCACTACTCGCCATTAGAAATGGGTCGTCGTAGGGCCAAGGTAAAGACAAGGCCAAACAAACATACAAACACACAATCAGCAAAGCTGAGTACATAAGCGTAATTAAAACACAATAACATGCTTTCATCCTATCAACATACAACTTACCTCGATGCACCTGTTTACAAGCACACAACAATCATCACTTGACTCGACTACTTATTAATATTTATTTAATTTTGATTACACATCGAACGGGTTTCCAACCAACTACCTGCCTCAAATAAATTGAGGTTAACTACACCGGGAGCTAACCGGGTAGGCAAATGCCACATGAAGTGACTGGATCCTGCGCATAATAAATAATAAAATGGAAAGTACAACGTCCTGTACCCCCAGTAGGAGTTATGGTCAAATATAAAGTCGCATAACCCCCCCTATGTTCATACTCAAGGTATATACGTTCCAAGAGT